TCAGTCAAATGAGATTTGAAATAGTGGGTGTAAAGTGCTGAGGTGGCAATTTTTGTCACAAGTGTGGGTGTGTTTCTCTCCTCTAACTTTTTCTTTTTTTAAATTTTTTCTACGTCAGAGTTTAGATAAAAGAGCACATCACAATGCTCTGGAGAGAAAGAGGCGTGATCACATCAAAGACTCTTTTACGAACCTTCGAGACTGCATTCCATCTCTGTCTGGAGAAAAGGTATCCTGAGGGGGAACAGTCATACAAGAGAATTGTCATATTTTAAAAATTTAATGTACGTTTAGGTTTCAAGGGCTCATGTCCTTAATAAGGCAACGGAATACATACGACAAATGCAGAGAAATAGCTCAGTACGGACAGTAGAGATAGACGAGCTTAGAAAAAAGAATGAGATTCTTGAAGAACAAGGTAATACAATTGAGGAAAGAATGAGAGAGAATGAATAACATGAGAGAGAGGGGGGAATGACAAGGAATAGAAGAGGAAATGAAGTTGTAAAGTGTAGAAGAATAACAAACTGGGAAAAAGAAACTGTATAATGTTAGAACTAATGTCTTTGGGTGAGTGGGTTTAAAGAAAGAGGGAGAGGTGGAAAGAGAGCTGGAGGGGGAATAAGGATGAAAAGGAGATACATGGGGGTGGGTGGGTATACATATGCAAAGTGTGTACAATAGTATTCATGGTGTTAGTTGATACAGGTACAAGTGCACATTCCTTATAGTTAATGGATTAGAACAAGCACAAGAAACTGGTGCCCTTTCTTCACCTGAAGATCTCATTGCTAGTATTGCTGAGAAAGTCCAGCAAAGACAGCTTCTTAGGCAGCAACAGCAGCAGCAGGCAAATTCTAACAAGGCCAATAAAGTACAGGTAAGTTATTAGGGGACACTCCTTTTTGATCATTTTTATTATAATTTTTTGCTTGTAGCTGGAACCTTCTGCTGACACTAATAATGTAGTAACTGTGGGCCCCAAGGATAAACCTAATGGTATGAAGTATTAACATTAGTAACTGATACAGTAGAATCTTTATTTATCACACAATTTTGTATCATATTTAAGTTAAATGTATGATTAAGCATTCTGTTTGATGCCTGTCTTCTGTATGTTAGCATGATGTTGAGTATGTTTGAATTTACTTTGAACTTGAATAGAGTCAAGTGGTAATGGTTTTGTGTGTGAAATTCAATCATGGGCGAGGCATCAATATTTCTCACCACATGAATTGTTATTCATTTTGTGTTTATTAACAATACACAAACTCATTTTCAATGTTTCCCCCTCTCTCACACACACACTCTCCCTTTCCTTTTACTTATTAATAGAAACCAATACTCCTGTTAGTAGTGCAGCTGCTAGTGTCACTCCATCTTCAGCTCCTGCTACTAATGATCAAGCAAACTCTTTTAATATACTTGCCAACAACATTAGGACGACTCAGAACCTTCTCTCGGCACTGGCAAAGAACCTTCCGAGTACTACCAACAATCAAATGAGAGCTATAGCTGCTCGTGTTCTAGCATCACCAGTCAGACCACAAGGTAATATTTATAAATATCAATTATTTCTGTAATTGAAGTACGATTTTGGCACATGATAATTGAACCTTTTTTTTAAATTAAGGAGGATCTGATTATGATTGCTATTATTATTGTTATCATCATTAGAATTTTGCAGGTTGTTTTTTGATTTTAATAAACAGCCACATATCTTGTAGAGGCTGTGTTTGCTAACTTTCCTACAAGTTATGTGCACCGACCAACAAAGTATAGTCAGTCATGTTACAGCCTGCATTTCTCTACTTGCATGTGTCATTTTTGGCTATGCCATCTGTTTGCAGTCCATTTGTATGTACTTCATTTTTGGCTGGTAATACTAATATCCATTAACTGGAATTCCTCATATTTTATGAGTCGCATTTTAATGTCTTCATAACTGTGGTCTCCCTATGTTGACCAATGATGTGGTAAATGTGGGGAATTTCTGCTAGCACACATGTAAAGATCTAATTGCATCTTTTAAACCATAGGCATGCCTCCAGCTTCAATACCAAGAGGTGTTGTGACAGCAACCACTGTTCCACAATTGACTGAGCAGCTTCCCAAAGCAGTAGTGACTCCCCCTCCTCTCCCTCCACCTGTCTCCGCGTCGCAAGAGGCAGTTACTACCACTGTCTCGGCTGGAGGCAGTCAAACTAGTCAAACAAGTACAGCAACTACTGAAGCAAGTGAGTTTATTGTGTTTGATGAGGTCGTTTATTAACGAGTGTTTGTGGTAGGTGTCGTCTCGTTACAAGGGAAGGAGACACAGACTGATAGTGAAGATCAACCACCGACTAAGCGTTTCAAGGCATCTGCGACCGTGTCCGAGTAGTCTTGTCCTTATGTCTTATATAGTAGTGCTCTCTCTGCCTTTTTACTGTCCCTTATAGGACAGCTTGGGATTATGAACTACACTCACACACCATTTGCATACACATGCACAAAAACAGTTATTTTATTACTTGAATTTAACAAAAAAAGAAAACAACTAAAAAGGCATGTAAATTGGGGGGGGGGTGGTTTAAATGTTTTATGGGCGTGGCTCAGGTGGAATTAAGCAACGAGGGTTTACAATCTTTTCTTATTATCTTCTCTTACTCTCGATCTAATGTCCGTTCCTCCTCGAGTCCCCACACTCCAGTACACCCTCTCTCACGTCGCCCCTGACAAAGCAGCTGAGATACGCTCAGCAGTGACCGGGGCACTGGTATACTGTAGCCAGACTGGACTCTACTCCTTCGAGCACAGGGTAGAGACAACCTTCGTGCTACCATGGGACCTGAATCCACAAGTACAGCCACAGAGACTGAGCAAGTAATTCAGTGACTCTCTTTTTTACTTGAATTTTTACTCATGATTTGATTATTATTATTATTAATTTTATTTATTTATTTATGTATTTCTCTCCATTCTCCCCTCCTTCTTCGTCAGGGAGGTTCGTGAGGGCATAAGGTTAGAGCTATTGGATCCAGACACCCTCTTACACTTGGAGGGCTGTGGGGGCATTAATTGGAGTAACATGTCATCGTGGCAGTCGAGGCCGGCCCAAGGGGGTACCTGGGAGTACATTAATGATGTCATTTGTGGTGAGTTGTATGTGTATGATATACTGTTGCGTAATATGATTTATTGGCAAGAGTTATATTTGGGAATTATTTTGTCTGTGTATAAGTAATTGGTGAACTTCATCTCAAACTTTATATTGGTGTCTTCTGGTGATTTAGTAGCTACGTGTCGTGATTGATTCACAAAATTTTAATTCAAGTATATATATCACCATTGAAATCAGATTCCGCATGCCCTCAATCATGTTTGAATTTAACACTTATGTTAGCAGATATGTTTTCTGAAGGAAATTAGTTAGTAGCTTGGCATGGTTTACTTGAATATAAAGTACACCTACATGTATAACAGTGACTGAAATGTAACAGTGAATGGCCAGTTGTTATTGTTATCACTGCTGTATTGATTGAGCAGATAAATTCATTCTTTCTACACAATCAATCATAATATCCCCATTCATTTTATCTTCATATAAATGCATGTATAGGTCACATTGAGGCTGGTTACATTAGACCCCACAATGAGTATTCCTTTGCGATGCATAACAATGTACATATTCAACAGTTCCAAGTCAACTATATCAATGGCTCATTGGCTAATGTCAATACGCAGGAGTTGTATCAAATCAGACGATTGGCCTTTGCTCCATTAATGCCAATGAAAGTGAGTCCTTGTTTGATGAAATTTTCCACATCATAGTACAATCGATAGCATTTTTGCTGTATTTAGTATTTCACAAATACATTTTAAATTTGATTTTCATGCAATTAGTTTTTGCGAATCTTACAATTTTTATCCTTGAAAAACAGACAGTATGATTATGTTGCCAATCTAATTGGATTTTTAAATGAGTAGCCAACACTCAGTGGTGGTTGTGATGCCAAAGCATTACTGGTACTAATAATCCTAATAGCTCCTGTAGTATAGTCATTATTGCATTCTTCCTTTCCATAGACTGAGGCTGGTTCTAGTTCATTGTTTCATGCTGCCTCTTTAGGATTATGGGGTGTACATGACAGGAATCAGCTACTAAAGGAAGCTGTAACATGCACTCTTACTAACCAGCAGGCGCAGATTAATCTATACGATAGATGGAACACTGTCAGGTCTCGGTCTTTACCATCTGGCTCTCATAAATCAGTGGGTATTGTAAGTATTGCCTATCCATTGTCTTTACTCTTGGACCAATGTATACTGTCCAGTGTTTGTTACATGTAGTGCAGTTTATACAGGAGTGTCTAGCATGTTGCATGAAACAGAAATGTTTCTTATTTCATGCAGTTTGTTACATGTCTGTATAAACTGGTTGCATGCATCCAACCAGCTGCATGTTATCCTTTAAACATTATCATTATAAAATGTCCCAACTCTTGTGTTTTGCAGACAGACACTTTCAATAGACATTGGTCTTATTAGTGCTCTCTTTCTCGTGTTGCTTCACTCAATCTTTCCTTCTCTCTTTCATTTCTCTTTTCTTTTTTAGCAGTTTGCTCAGTGGGAGGCGGCTAAAGACAATATCGTCGGAGCTCCACAGCTTCACATATTCACTCTCTCAAATATCATCCAGAGACCAATAATAGTCTATTCACACCCTGAGAGTGAAGTGGGGTAAGCTTACGGGACATAACGCACACGCAAGAAAACTTTGAGCAGCTGGAAAAATTAAAATGCATGTACATGTACATGTACTTAAAAGTTTACTATGTGTGATTACAAGTAGGGTATTAAGTAGAGTATTTAGTGTATGGAGTAGTGTACGTAGTAGTGTAAGGGGTACATATTGGGGTTTGTATTAATGGGGGGGGGTAAAGGTCAGTCAATCTAAGAGGTGTGTCCCCACCCTCTCAGGGTTGGTCTGCTGTTATACTTGTAGCTACAGTTACCCAGTGGGTAGGTATTTGGTTAAGCATAGAGTCTGATTCTTCTAATAAATGTAGTATTATACTGTACATCTAATAATAATTGAGTGGTTTTTTGTCTTTTGTGTATAGTGGAATATATCTACCTTTACTGTGGGAGGGACAGGGTCAGGTGTTCCCGTGTGACTCTCATCCTCACCTACGGAATCCTCTTGTACTAGGATATGATTGTAAGTACATGTACTTGTCTATAATAGCCCATGGTTTTTTTCAAAAATGGCTCAGAAATCACCCCAAATTTTTATTACATTTTTTGATACACATTGATGTCCTTATGCTATGTACAAAGTATGAGCTGATTCTGACTTCAATTTTTAGGTTACGGCCAATTTAAGTAAACGCCAAAATTCTGAAAAATACCCAAGGCTATAGCCCATGGTTTTTTCCAAAAAATGTCTCCAAAATTAGCCCAAATTTTTATTACATTTTCTGATACATATTGATGTCCTTATGCTGTGTAGAAAGTTTGAGCTGTTTTCGACGAATAATTTTTGAGTTATGAGCATTTTAAAAGTGAGGCGATTTTTAAAAGGAAGCTAAGGCTATTTTAAGCACATGCATGGTAGAGATGTACATCCACATTGTGTGTTTAATTTTTATATCAACATTTATTTTAGACACTAGAAATCAGTTTGTGCCTTTAGTCACTTTCAAAGGATCGAAGGTTATTTATTTATTTTTATTATTTTATTTTATAATTTATAATTTTTATTTTAGGGCCCTGATCCAATCTTACTTCCACTTACATTTAGTAATGGGAAGAGTCTACCAGTACAATATTTATCAGAGTCACAGGTAAGGGTCTGCAATTAGAGGTAGCACTACATGCAGTATTGATCAAGTATCATGATTTGAGTATTATAACTTTAGAAGTGACTGATATTAATTTAATTTTTTTAGGTTGGCAGTCCTACTGAGCTGCTTCAGAAGCTGATGTTTGTTGATGTTATCTCTCATAGTTTCACATCTCACATACTCTCACAGCATCACAGTTAGTCTCCTTTACATTATTATACTGTATCACAGATCCAACAGCCTCAAATTTTCATTATTTGCAAAAGTACATTATTTGCAAAAGCAATTTTTTTGAGGTGCAGTTCATTTGCATTGAGAATTGAGCAACTCAAAAAAATTTTTTGCTTTTGCAAAAATTTTTTGGCCACATAAATATGAGTGCTGAATGGGAATTGACACACACACATAGACAAAAATTCACTAAGCAATAAATATTATTGTTTCTTTTTTCTTATTGCATTGCCAGTGCCTTACGTACCAGGTGTAATATCTGGCAAAGCAGTGACTCCACCCTCTCCCACTCACCCGCCCACCCTCGCCTGCGTACTTAACATTGCAGAACTCCCTCAAGTGATGGATCAGCTCATCAAACGATTCCAGAGTGTATTTTTGTAGAAATTATTATTATTTTTAGACACAATAAATATTAAAAATAATTTTTGAATCCCAACACTTCTCTACCACAATTCAGCACTGCTATAGAATAAGAAATCAGCGATATTACTCCAGACAGTACTGTCACGATAGAGATATGTCATTGAGTTCTGTAGTGATGGCTGTAGAACGTCAGTATGGTATTCAAATAGCGTCAATGCTAGTCCCCAGACTATGGCAGCAAAAAGTGGAAAAGTATTGAATTGTGGCTCAGGTATTAGCTGCTTTTTGACTGCAAGTCGAGCTAAACCAATCGTAACTCTTGATAATAGATATAAATTGATCTAATGAGGAGAGAAAAAGAGGGGACTTATAATTATATAGGAGACAGAATAGAAGTCCGTATGAACTGGTATGCTAAATTTAATATCAATTAGGCAATATAATAATTATGAGCATCTAAATTTTTTAATTCTTTTCATATTGAGTACTATAATGCGGTATATATACAATGATATCTGTACTATTTAACCTGCATATTGACTTTATTATTAGTCCCAAACACTAAATATCCTCCCATCAATCCACCAATAAAGTTATGAACTGGATGAGTCGATCCTCTTAGTTTATTCAACAGCAAAGAGATAGACTTGTAGACCAATGCAAAGAATGCTAGGTTCTTTGCATGCTGAGCTGTTGCTGTTAGTATAAAGCGGAACTTCTCCTTTAAACTGAAAGCAGAGAGACATAAGTAGGTTTGGTTTAATAGGCTACCTTCCCTCATGGAAGAGGAATGTCATGACCAATGAATGTGGAAACCTGATTTTAACTCCGTACCTGCAAAGAGATGTTTGTGAGCCTATACAGGTTTGCACATCACAGAATAACTTACATTAGTCCATTCCTGAAAGCCTTGACCAGAGAAAGGAGCGTGCGATAGCGGGGATTGTTGAGCAAAGCGTTGAGCTGTTGAATTCTGTTGGAAGCCATTGTACCAGTGGGAGGAGTCATGGGCGTGCTCGTCGAAATTTTAATCAAAAAATGGCCTTCGATTCCCAAGAGTCCCAGACTAGCAGTGTTGGCGGTAGGAAAGAAGAGAAGGACCTGTACTGACTGTAATGTATGTGTCTCTTTGTAGATTATTATGAGAGCGAGGAGGAGGAGGAGGATGATTACAAGTATTTCGAGGAAGAAGATTTGATGGAAGATAGTGAAACCTTTAGTAAAGAGAACAGTGATCCTGAATGGTATTTAAAATAAATATTATATGATTATTAATTAGTGAGTTTGTTTGTGGGGCTTGAAATTTTCTAAATATTTTGCTTTTATTAAATGTGCATGTACATTTACTAATGTACATGTAGGTACGAGCATTCCTGTATGCCGTCGCAGGAGGTGTGGTCTATTATAAAAAAGGAGGTGTGTCAGTTGAGTCAGGACCTACAGGTTACTGATCCTATTGCAAGACTATTATTGTATTCAACTAAATGGGACAAATCCCTAGCTGTGTCAAAGTAAGTTACTGCATTTTTATAAGGACATCAATATGTATCAGGAAATGTAATAAAAATTTGGAATGATTTCAGGGCCATTTTTTGGAAAGAACCATGGGCTATTTGGCATTTTCCTAAAATGGCTGTAACTTGAAAAATTGAAATCGGAATCAGCTCAAACTTTTTACATAGCATAAGGACATCAATATGTATCAGAAAATGTAATAAAAATTTGGGGTGATTTCGGAGCCATTTTTTGGAAAAAACCATGGGCTATAGCCCACGGAGATTGGTATCAACTATTGAAGCAATCATGTATACTAATGCTTTGCAATTTTACAATTTTATCACATAACAGGTTTAATGGCGATAAAAATCAATTTTTCATTGATGCTCACATTCATCCAAGCAAACCTAAACGACAACCACTTGAACCAGTAAGTACATATATATGCCTCATGATTGACCGCTCCCATTACCCCACCCACTTCCTGTAGTGTACTGAGTGTCCAATATGTTTTAGTAGTGATGATGCCAATTACCAGTTATACTGTGGTCATTCCTTTTGCTGTGACTGTTGGATTAGTTACATCATCTCTAAACTGGAGAGAGGAGTATCACTAGGTACACTTATTATTTGATTTGTACTACAAATATTTTCTGATACTACAGGCATTGAGTGCATGGATTGTGATGTGTTAATGGGATTTGAAGTGATTGATACTCTACTAGTGAAGAGATCAAGCGTTATCAGACGATATTACCAACTGGCACTATCACAAATTGTAGAGGTACACTATTATTCATAATGTGTTGAATTTTTGATATTAATTCTAGTGTCAAATTTTAAAATTACATGTATATTCATATCTTTTGTATTGCCTGCAGTACATGCACTATAATTGTATCATTTTTGATATTACTGGAAGTGTATTTTAACTGTTACTGACATTATTAAGTTTCTGATTTAATTTTTTAAAAGATCCCTGGGTAAATTTGCTAAAATTAGTGCATGCAACTAAAAAAGCTGAACTTAATTTTTTATACACGTATTTATCATTTAGTCTCATCCATTGTTACGCTGGTGTCCTGGCAGAGATTGTGATATGGTGTTTGCCGTCAAGGAACCACTACCTAAGAGAATCCAATGCACTCACTGCAATCTAGCTACATGGTTAGTGGGTGGAGTCTGTGTCTCATGAATTTAATTAATATTATTGTAGCTTCCAGTGTGGAGAAGAATACCATTCACCAACAGGTACTATTAATTAATTATTTATTTTTGTTTATTTATTTATTTGTTTATTTATTTATTTTTGTTGTTGTTCTGTTAGTAATTTTTTTTATTTTTCTTACACATAGATTGCGAATCGTTTAAGAATTGGTTGTTGAAATGTAGAGATGATTCAGAAACTGCTCACTACATCACTTCTAACACAAAAGACGTATGTTTATGTTTATTTATTTGTTTGTTTGTTTATCTATTTGTTTATTCTAATAACTAGTGTCCAAAGTGTTCTTCTGCCATTGAAAAGAATGGAGGATGTAATCACATAGTAAGTTTGGGTGTGTTTGTTTGGTTCATTTTTTCCACTCTCAGGCCTAATTTAGTAAAAATGACAAGGAGAGAATTCTCCATTTTTATAATATTTTCTGATACATATATATGTTTTAATGTTGCATAGAAAGTTTGAGCTGATTCTGATTAAATTTGGATTTTTAACGAATTTTTAAAGTTGCTCCAAAATTGGGTAAAAGTTCCTGTACTATAGTAGATGGTCACGGGCCAAATTTTGGCAAAATTGACAAGGAGAGAATTCTCCATTTTTATTACATTTTCTGATGCATATACATGTACTTATGTTGTGTAGCAAGTTTGAGTTGATTCCGATTAAAATTGGATTTTTTACGAATTTTTAAAGTTGCTCCAAAATTGGGTAAAAGTCCCTGTACTATAGTACATGGTCATAGGCAAAAATCTCTGCTTGTCACGGATTTTGTGACAATAGAACAACTAATGGGTTTTTCTTGTCATAGATTTCTGGCCGAAGTCCCTAGTGTATAGTAATTTTTCTTCGGCCAAATTATGCCGAAAATGACAAGAAGAGAAACCTCGATTTATATTACATTTTTTGTATTGTTTAGCGTTGTACCAAGTGTTCCTTTGATTTCTGTTGGATGTGCTTAAGTGGTAAGTGAGTGTTAGCATGTTCATATTGTTATACAATAGCCACACCCTTAGCCTGGGCAAAACACAATAATGAATACTATGCTTGCAGTCGCTATCAAGCTGATCCAGACGTCATGAAGGCAAAGGTGACCAAAGCTCGAGAGGCTTTGAAGAAGTATATATTCTATTTTGAAAGAGTATGTTTTGCTTATTGTTATTATTATTATTATTATTATTATTATTATTGTTATTATTATTGTTATTATTATTATTATTATTATTTTATAATTATTAGTGGGACAATCATCACAAAAGTCTATTACTGGAGGAAGAGACTCGTTTTAAAATCCAAACAAGAATAAAGGAGCAAGTCTCCAATGGAGAAGGAACCTGGATTGATTGGCAATACCTCCTTGATGCTGCAGATCTGCTTAGAAAAGTACACTTTACTGAAGTAGATGTCATATTAAAAATAACCAAGAGAAAATAAATAATTATCTACTCTTGATATAGCTTTGAATATAATACTGTATTCTCATACAGTATTATATTCCCAGCTTGCAACAAGAAAAATTTGTAACACATATTAATAGTAATACTTAGTTAGTGTAGCATTGCAGCATTGAGTTAATGTATTAATCCACACACACACACACACACATACACACACACACACACACACATACACACACACACACACATACACACACACACACACACACATACACACACACACATACAGTGTAGGTATACACTGAAGTATACATATCCCAGGGCTTACTGGATGATTGGAGACAAGAAGCATCTGGTAAGACTTGACTTTTTGAGCAGCTTTAAAACTCACCAAAAAAGCCAAACTTGATGCATAGCATAAGGCCCATGAATCAAAAAGATTCTCTACTTATATTGTGCTACATGTAACATGTATACCTATTATGTATCATAGAGTTAGAGGTTTGTAATGGATCTATGATATCTTTTTATACAGTTTGAGTACCAGCAGGCACAGCTTGAGTTAGAGATAGAGAATCTGTCATGGAAAGTGGAGAGAGCAACCATCACTGATAGAGCTGTATGTATCACAAATTTACAATGATTTGTATTATTAGTATTAGTATTATTATTTTTGTTGTTGTTGTTGTTTAGGATTTAGAGCGGCAGATGGCAGTGACTGAGATAAGACGCGTGACGTTACTTAGAGATTTTAAACATTATTGAATTTACAATCATGAAAAACAAGCTGACAGTTAAGCTGCTGGAGGATTATGTAAAATACATGTACACTGACTCTTATCATCAATGCCACGACATAATATGAAGGCCAACTTTTGTTATTTATTATTAATTAATCATGATTATAGCAATGAAATCAATTGTTCATAGTTGGTGTTTTTTTATCATTAAAATTAGTACAATTTGCAAAACAATCGTCATGATGATTATATCACAATTTTGATTATAACACACACAGAAACATTCTAAGAAAAGTTTCAAGAAAGTAAAACAGTTCAGTCAACAAGGGGAACAGTTTATTTAGAGGAGAGCTAACGTCCTGACCCTCCTCAGGGGAAAAACTGCCCGAAAAATAAAAACCAAACTTTATTGGAAAAATTACAACAGACAGAAAAACCCAAAAGTTCAATTAGATGAATAGCCTTTTGCCTTTAGTTAGAACCAAGAGTACTTGTTAGAACAGACCTAAAAAAAGATGTAGACATGTCAAGTATCATTTTAACTTACCTTTGGTATGGGCATCATGCATTTGATGGAGAAGCCACCACCTATATGAGGAAACAGGTACATGTACATTAAAATATTACACTTATCTGCTGAAAAAAGAGTATAGTTCTTTGGGGTTCTAGCTGGGTTCCAGATAACTAAGGTACACAATATAGTCTAATAGTTTAAAGAGGAGGAAGAACAGGTAGTGAAAGGAGGAAGAAAATAATCCAAGACTAGTACTGACTGGGTCAAAGGCCATTAGAAGATATCATTGGCTGGGAGAAGGATATATAGGGAAGGCAAGGGCTGAGACTGCTAAACATAGAGTTGAGTGCTGTTTGATGGTTCCTATGTCCCACTCTTTGCTCTGATGTGGGATCATACAGTGTACTGGAAGGTAGCCTTGAGTTTTCTATTAAGAGAGAGAGTGAGAGGAAATGGAGAGAAATGCAAAAAGTGAAGGATAAAATGAAAATATTAATTTTGTATTATTTAGACTGACCTGTATTGAAAACTTTAGACTGACCTATACTGCAATTACCATGGGGGCTGTGCAAAAAGAAATTATGATGATTCATAAGATCAAAAATTCTATAATCAAAGGACAATAATAATAATAATAATAATAATAATAATAATAATGTCAAATAACTTAGCTTACCAAGCGTATTTGATGTTCACTGTGTTTTCTTAATGGGACAACAGAGACACAGCTTTCAAATGACTCTTTAAAAAACTGATTCATTTCATAATCAACAGTGACAGCTCTTACCAACAGTGAGCCACATTGATTTCTCAAATTCGCCTAAACCATTCCAAACTTTGCATTTATAGCTGCCAATATTGTCCTTATGAGCAGAGGAGATTAAGAGGATGCCCCTCTCATCAAGAAGAGTGTAATTTGAAGTATCATTAGTGAGAAGTGTCTCTATGAAGTACCATTCAATGTAATGCATACTCCCTTGGGTTATACAAGGCAAGGTAACATTGGTCATCTCACAAGCAGTGAAAGTAGTATCAGAATGAAGGACTATTGGAATAATGGAGTGTCCTAATAGAAACCAAAAAATATGCATGCATCTTGAGTAGAACAAAAAAGTGTATATAAATATTGCATAGCTGGTAAATTTGGAGGATAAAAAAGTTGGCAAATTTGGAGTTTTGATAGCCATTTACCAAAATTAAACCAGCCATTATGTAAATGCTCAACAGCAAATAGCCAAAAATTTCTACTAATTAAAACCTCATGAATCACCAAAAAATTCATCAATTTACCAAATTTCACTCCCTCCAAAATTACAATAAGTGAGTTATTGTCTTACTTATTGAAACGTATTTAGTTTCATTTCCATGCTTGTTACTGATCATGCAGGCAAAAGTGTGATTAAAAAGGCAAACAGGGACCAGCGTTGATGAAATATTCTGCACTTGATAATTATCCATTGGGTTATTGGTATCATAGAGCAATATTGTGAGCGGATGCTGACCGGTTCCAGTACACAAGAGGTGATAGCCAAAACAAAAAGCAACTTCATCTTTCTTTACAACAAGCTTAAAAGATGCAACCCTGCCAGGGCCTGTAGAATTATAATAATAATAATAATAATAATAATGATGATAATTAATAATAATTAGAAAATTTTCAAATAATGATAATGATAGTAATAATACATCTTTATTCTTCTTACTGCGACATTTACGGGCGGTTTTATTAGGAACAAGAGGCCATCCAGTACCGGGATGGGTTTCAAAGCAAACTTGACACTTGTAATGACCAGAAGAGCTGCAGTATACCATCTCACAGAACTGAATGAAAGAGCTACCATGACACACTAAAATAATAATGATAAAAATGCCATTAATTTGAGGTTGACTATATAGTCTATACATGGAATCAATATAGACAGTATGATACCATGATACCATGATAGTATGTACCATGGGCTATAGCCTTGGGTATTTTTCAAAATTTTGGCGTTTTCTTAAAATGGCCGTAACTTGAAAAATTAAAGTTGGAATCAGCTCAAACTTTCTACACAGCATAAAAACATCAATATGTATCAGAAAATGTAATAAAAATTTGGGGTGATTTCGGAGCCATTTTTTGAAAAAACCATGGGCTATAGCCTTGGGTATTTTTCAGAATTTTGACGTTTTCTTAAAATGGCCGTAACTTTTAAAATTGAAGTTGGAATCACCTCAAACTTTCTACACAGCATAAGTACATCAATATGTATCAGAAAATGTAATAAAAATTTGGGGTGATTTTGGAGCCATTTTTTTGAAAAAAACCATGGGCTATAGCCTTGGGTATTTTTCAAAATTTTGGAGTTTTCTTAAAATGGCCGTAACTTGAAAAATTAAATTTGGAATCAGCTCAAACTTTCTACACAGCATAAGTACATCAATATGTATCAGAAAATGTAATAAAAATTTGGGGTGATTTCGGAGCCATCTTTTGAAAAAAACCATGGGCTATAGCCTTGGGTATTTTTCAAAATTTTGGAGTTTTCTTAAAATGGCCGTAACTTTTAAAATTGAAGTTGGAATCACCTCAAACTTTCTACACAGCATAAGTACATCAATATGTATCAGAAAATGTAATAAAAATTTGGGGTGATTTCGGAGCCATCTTTTGAAAAAACCATGGGCTATAGCCTTGGGTATTTTTCAGAATTTTGACGTTTTCTTAAAATGGCCGTAACTTTTAAAATTGAAGTTGGAATCACCTCAAACTTTCTACACAGCATAAGTACATCAATATGTATCAGAAAATGTAATAAAAATTTGGGGTGATTTTGGAGCCATTTTTTCGAAAATACCATGGACTATAGCCTTGGGTAATTTTCAGAATTTTGGTGTTTTCTTAAAATGGCCATAACTTAAAAAATTGAATTCGGAATCAGCTCAAACTTTCTACACAGCATAAAAACATCAATATGTATCAGAAAATGTAATAAAAAATTGGGGTGATTTCGGAACCATTTTTTGAAAAAACCATGGGCTATATAGCTTTGGGTATCCCACAGAAATTGGCTCATTTTTTAAAATAGCTATAATACAAAAATTACTTTTCAAAAACAGCTCAAACTTTACATAGCATAAAGACAACAATATACATCATAAAATGTAATGAAAATTTTGCTAAATCTAGTACATTCAGCCATACTGACATCTGCAATAATGATAGACTGGATTAACATCATTAGAACACATGATATAGTCTCCTGTCCAGTAGAAGTTATCATGACATTCAATGATGAGCCCGTCACTTCCATTGCATCTGATACTTTTAGAATGATATACTCTCACATCCTGACAGCACTCTATTACACAAAAAACATTGAATATGTAAAGTCAAAGAGTTTCCACTTACCATAATTGCAGTATTCAGTACTATTAATGCAAATAATTTCTACAAAAAAGAAATCCAATTAATGCCCTTTAGACTACCGTACGCGTCTTAATTTTCGAGATGTATTAAATTTATTTTTTATTAAATTGTATTATTTTCGTGCTCACCTTAAATCCACGAAATTTAAACCACCTCTAATGCCATTCTATTGTATGTAGACTATGGCCAGAACACGAAAATTAGCTCACACGAATATTAACTTTTGAGCAAATTTTATTTGAAAACACGAAATTTTGAACCCTCAAAAATTTGAACGTATACGGTATTGTTGACATAGTACAATGAGCTATTATTCATTTATTATAAATTTTAATTTCTTGCACACCTTTAATTTTGCATGTCGTCAAAATCCATTCATTGAAATTCCTATAAATCATTGACTGTGAATGAACATCCAATGCTAAAATGAACTTACATAAAAGTATGGGTATAAGAGTTATATGTATCCACTAGGCTTACAAAAGCATCACTGGCAGAACTGTTACTATTCATCAAGGATCCCAACACTACATTCCTGCAATCATCACTAGCAATCCTCCAACCACTTGCCAAGGTGCTGCAGTAAAATGACCATTTTAAGTCAAATAAGCTATCTTCAAGACGTGCTCCAGCTATAACAGAGTTTGGTAGGTTGCAGCTATGCAGTACTTGACTCATGGACTTGCCAGCTTGGGCTTTTGGAGTAGTCCAGTGGCCTGGGTCATAAAGCACATCAGTATCCTCCTCACAAGAGAACCTGAAAGCAGAAGCCCTCAACCTACAAAGAATGATTTGCAGCAAGAATGCAGTAACTATCAGCCATCATGGTCTGAATGCAAAGGATGCAACTGACTCTGTAGAATAGTATTTTTGAATCCAGACAATAGGAGTATAATTGGGACAGATATGGCCTATGACTGATGCTGATCCATTTGGAGATATATGCACTTCAAAATAAGGAGCTGCACTGCCTAGATATGCTATGGAAAATAGCACAAGAGACAGGACAGCAAAAAATGGAGCCCGAGCATCAAACATAATGAAATGTTTTTAAATTCTCGAGCAACTGGGACAGCAGGTTTCTCTGTATATATAGGCAACTAGGAGCACGGGACAAATTATTTTCAGAAAACCTCCCACTTCATTGAACCAACCAATAAACACTATAAAAACAGTGAAAGATAGAATGCAAGGTTACATGTGTAAATAAGAGGCTAGACAATTAGAAGTCACTATGTCTCTTCATCCATCATCAGTTTCAAGCAGTTATAGCAACAGGAGTATCTTCTTGAGGATCTATAGCTAATTCCTGAAAAAGAGCATGCAGACCAAAAACCACGCAACAATAGCTATACATGCAACGCATGGAAATAAGCTAGTCTGTCATATTTTGTTATTACTCCTTCCAGTTGGATGTGAACAGAGCAAGAGTACAGCAGACAGGAACACCTCTTGTGGTGCAGAGTAGGGATGGTCATAGATAACAAAAGCAATTACTGATACAATTATCTTCTATAGACAATCCCTTCACACTACGTGTATATCTAAAAATGATTTCATAGCAGAAAATAGATGTGTACATCTATATATAAATCCATTTTAAAAACACTATTTGATACATGCATTTTACGAACAGCTAATCCAATACTTGTATAACAACCACCATAATAATATGTTCTTCATAAAATGTTTTAATTATTATTTATACAAAAATTCACACACACACACACACACACACTCACAGCCAGTAGACCAAGTTCTCAATACCCCAAGGCGATAGTAAATATCATTATGATTATTATTATTATTATTATTAAATAATAAGACATTTAAGATTTCTGATTCTTGGCTTGCTGGATCAACCACTGAAGTGTGATGTCTGCAGTAAAAATTAAAAAAATAACATTAAAAATATTACTTTAGTGTGGGCATACCAATATTTTCCCTTTCCTTGCAAGATATCGAGTAACAGCAAATCTCCCTGTCCTTGATATCACCTAGGCCCCTAGAAGAAGAGATGCCTGGTGTGCATGCTGAAGGAGAAAGACTTACATTCTTTCTATGATCTCTCTCTCCCTCAATGCATTAGGGAGATCCACTTTATTACCAAGCACAAGGACCTGAGAGAGAGAGAGAGAGGGAGAGAGGGAGAGAGAGAGAGGGGGGGAAGGGAGATATAAGTAGACGTATATACATTGTACATGTATGTGCATTGATTTGACCTACTGGTATTCCAGCTAGCTGCGGCTTATCTAATAGACTATGTAACTCGTTCTTAGCCGGCTCAATCTTTTCGTGATCGGCTGCATCAATCATGTATCTGTAGAAAAACAATAATATCTCATATCATTATTATTAGAAAAATAATATAAAACATTCCTTCTAATATCTGATTAGATCCATCCACTAAAATAATATAAGATAAACAATAGTAAGGCTAGCTACAAGGACGACCCAATGGCTACTACTAAATGTATAAATCAATAGCACATTATAATACATTACCACATTATTATCGATACAATCTTCAGTGGGTTAGGGCTCTCACTAAACTTCTAAACTGAGACCCCATAGCGCAATACGCAAGGAATCTTGGTCCTGGGCATTGCGCAATCTCTTGCCCCAATCACGTAATGTAATACAATACTGGCTGCGATATGGTGTATTAAAAAAATAAAAACAACAATGGTTACAGATTGGCTCAGTATTGCAATACCCAGTAAACCACTAGTGGTAATAAAGTACTGCTGCTGGGTAAACAATACTCATGGCTTCAGTCCGCAGTGTTTCCATAAAGGAGCCACAATTAAAAGAGGACAGACTTTAGACTAAACCTAACTTTATACATGTATATCATAGCAGTGTGTAACAGTATGATTGAGCATGTGTATACTGGCCCAATGCCTCCAATACCTCCAACTATACAGTACCATCATATTATGATTCATTTGACAATCAGTTAACTAATGCCCAGTTGGCCAGTTATGCTAAAGGGCCCAGGTTCACAGGCCAACTCTAATTCACGTATCCAGATTATACTTATAAACAAGTTTTGACAGTAATACTACAATCAAACAATAGAAACTACAGACAACTATTACTAAAACAAAGATAGAGTCAAACTGAGTGAATGTAGAGTAGTGTACTACTACTACTACACTGTAGAGTGCCAATACAGCAAAATGTACTGTACAATTGAGCTTATCAATATTTGATATGGGTAGTCAGTAAAATTTATCAGCTACAGTAGGAAAATATTGAACTTACACAATAGCAGTGACTCCTCTACAGTATCGCTCCCACATGCTCCTAAACCTTGGCTGTCCACCAATATCCCACAACTAGGAGAGAGAAAGAGAGAGGGGGGAGAGAGAGAGAGAGAGAGAGAGAAATGGAGTGATATAAGTGTTAACTGCTAACATTTATAAAACACATTCTAAATAAGAAAGCATTTTAAAACTTGATATACATGTACATGTACACAAAATGTTCTTATAAGTTATTAAAGTATCGTTATGGGTGTACCATCATCACTAGTCAAAGCACAAAAGAAAAATCATAAAAATCTAACCATGCTAGAAACAACACTGTCTCATGTAAAAAGGACACAAATCAAATCTACTGCTAGAAATGAAAAAAAACACCATGTTTTTAACATATCGTAGGTATAGTGTTTGAAGTTATGTCAACATTTAATTTTATGTCTTTGAAACCCAATCAATGATAGAGACATGACTTAACACAGTTAGCATAATAGCACCAATCCTATACAAACACACATGCCACATTAATGCCTCAACGATTGCAGACATTTCAAAGTTCCTGAATCAATCAAATGAAAGTGCCGAGCTACATTACATTTTGTCTTTCTGTGTACTATATGTACATCAATTTAAATTATTTAATGTCTTCGAAATGCTAATTTTAAGAAATGCGGAACTTACAAAAAGAAACAGGCAATTGTAGGCAATGGACGTAATTCATAGAAAGAAAAGTTTGTGAAAGTCTCCTCCACAACCAACGATCAAAATTCCTTAATCGTTTAGCGTTTAGTTAGACACACACTAGTTGAACTATTACCAAAGGAATTGTAATTTGCTTTTTAAAAATAACCATACTACTCTGTTAAATTATGTATATTATATAAAATTATGTGGATAACCATCAATTACAATTAAAACTGTACTATAAATATTAAGTTGGCAATACGGTACAGTGGCTTTCTTTTGTTCAGCCAAACTTTCATTTTCGCTTTCCAGGTTCCAAAATAGAACTTCAGAAATTACCAATTTACAAAACAAAACCCACAAAGTTCGATTTCCTCCCCCCGAATAAACGAAAAACAAAAGTTTGACCCAAAGAAAAAACTACTATACAATACCTAAATTTGAAGTACACGTATCTCTTACTAACTTTAATGGTGACATTGCCTTTAGTGACTTTCCTCATATTAAAACCAACAGTGGGTATCATGTCCTCATTGAATTGACCACTCTACAAGAGATTGTGGAACTGATACTACAACAGTATACCATCATTAGCTTCTTACTGCTATCACATTGACAAATGTAGTCTTCCCAGAGTTTTGGAGTCCCACGAGTGTGAGCTCCATCTCTTCCTTCCAGAAGAGGCTCTTAAACCACTCGATGATACGATTAAAAAACCCCAACATGTTGACTATGAGAGAAAAGAAAGAAAACACAATAGATAATGATAATAACAGTTTACGAAAAAGCTAAATAACAGATTAATAGGAAATTACCATACATAAGGATAACAAGAGAGGGAGAGAGAAAGAAAGGGGAGGAGAAAAAAAGTGTCCCACAAACCTTTAAAAACTTTTTAGAAAAGACACAGCCCAGACACGTGACTAATTAAAATTAATAAATTGTTAATTGACACACCTCCAACCACGCCTTCCATCCATTGAAATTAATCATTATTAATTAATTAACTAACTATTAAAATGAATACAATTATACATGTACATGTATGCATCTGTCAAAATATTGATGTACATGTAGCTTTTCAACTTGCAGATATTTGTGCCTGTCATACAAAAAAAAGAATCATAATAAAATTAAAATACAAAAAAAGATTCAAAGCCATACCTTGATGGCTACAGAATGGAAGCTTTGCTTTGGCTTTAGGTCAGTGCCTTGATCAGAAGCAGACTACAAGTATAGTATATAATACGTAGCATAAAGGACAGCTTAAAAGTGAATAAGGAAATGATGTAGAACAGGTTCAAAAATTTGATTGCAAGAATCGATCACTTGATTTTAAATTTTAAGTTTGAAATTCGAAATTTCATACAAATGTATTGATATGGCTTGCCATGCACATACAAAACCACAATCATTTAAGGACAATTTGGACTATTTTGCCTGTTTTTGCAATCTTTCTGATGCATTGATGATCTACATGTAAATTAATGACAGTCAGTATAGTTATAAAAGCTAGCTAGGGCAAAGAACAAAGTACATGTAGCTGTAATGTAGGAAATGGAGGGTGAGAGAGAGAGAGAGGAAGGGAAAAAGGAAGAGAGAGATAGAGATTATAAACAAAACATTATTAAGAAAGCATAAACAAGATAACAATAAAACTAACACTGATAATAAAAATCATGTGTTGTGTAGGAGTACATGTAAGATCATTGATGACATGCATAAGTACATTCATAATATTCATAACATTATTTCCTCATTCTCAGGAATGATGAATATCAATAATTAAAAAAGAATTTATCCCATAATTATATACATATACATATACATGTACATGTACATGTATATGTATATGTACATACACTGTACATGTACATGTGTACAACATGTGCATGTAAGTGAAGTCACACATCATGACGTAAAAACTATTCCATAACATTATTCATTGATAATTTCTAATATAACAATTTAAAAACAATTACAGTATACTTGTAATTAAGGAATTAGTGCATTAAAAAAATTACTATTAATTTACTAATTTCACGCACAATTAAAAATAAATTGATAATGTACACATGTACATGTATTTCTAATAAAACTCAATCTCATCTAAAACTGATTGTCTTGTCCCATATAAATATTCATAATAGACATGCAACACTGACAGTTACTATAATTAAGTGCAGCTTACTTTCTTTACTTTGGTAGGATTCTGTGGAGTGCCCATAGCTATAGACCCAGAGCTAGAAGGCCTGGACCAAGGTCGAGGAAGGAGAGCAGTAACAGTTATCGGAGCACTGCTGGAAGGAGGGATAAAGTGAGGAGGGGGAGGACCAAGAGGTGTATCCAGTGACAATACTCCTTCCTGGTTGTCAGACAATATGCTGAATGTGGTTGATGTGTGCTGCGTCGTTGGGCGAGAGGCAGAGAGAGAGAGGGTCAGTGGTGTCTCTGGCGATATGTCACCATAAGCCATCACAATGCTCTGGAGCATGTTGTATCCTTCTTGTATATCATCTACAGTTCAGGATAGAGTCAAAGTTGAAAGTATACATGTACATGTACATGTTGATTGAACCTTTTTCACAATTAAAATATGTACAGTAGTTATGACCATTGTCATGATTTTTTTTAAATGGCTCTAAAATCACTCGAAATTTTTATTACATTTTCCCATACATATTAATGTCCTTATGCTATGTAGAAAGTTTAAAGTGATTCTGACAGCTACATGTACATTCTAAGTTGTAACTAAGGTCTTACCAGAGTTGATAGTAGCATCAAAGAAGCCCGCTCTGTCCTGATGAAACTGCTGGTACAGCCTCACATCATTCAGTGATTGCTGGACATCATCTTCCGTTAAATGATCTTTATCTCTCAGCCTTTGCTCATGTATCTAAAATAATATTAAAAATAATTATAATATTGCTATGCACATGTACAGGCAAACAACTATCAAAAATGCACTTAATTCAATCATTATAAAATTCCTTATATAGAATTAAACTCACATGACTGTTAAGAGGTAGTGTTAATATGTAGCGGGGTTCAAAATGGCTCCTCTTCAGAGTCAAAACACCCTTTAAAAAGAATAAATAACTATTATGATTTCCTAAGACTAATTTCAGTAGAATAGGTGGGCGTAGTATTGATTTAAGAAGAGGAAATGAGAGAAATAGTAACAGTAAACTGGAGAGGACTATAAACTAAACACAGGAAGACATCTAACAATAACAGCAATTATATTCAGTCCCAAAATAAATGAAACACATCTATTGTTACATTTTTCTAGTTTTACATGCATACATGTACAACTTAAATGTACCTGTACATGAATGTACATGCTAGTCTATCAGGCATAACTGCATATCTCAGTCCAGACGGTCACACTATCATTACTAGAGTCAGTTACAATTGAGTGTGCCTGGTCTGACTATAACTGATAGTTGACATAGTGACACGTAATATAAGAGACATTATAGTGAACCAGTCAGAGGCAGTAATTATGTACCGGAACTAATGCAATTAATGAAAGGAGTTCACCACTTACATCATGTACTTGTACTATATGCAAATACATGTACTTGTGCTACATGTACATGTATATATGTACATGCATATATACTGTATGCAGTGGTAGGGTAATAGTAGTAGTGTGGGTATATAATATTCTTAGCAAAGTGTATGTGTGTGTGTGTGTGTCTGTCTGGAATGACTGATGTAGTAACACGATTCATTGGTGGTGCAACTGAAAGGATGATCATGTGTATCAGTCCATGTGATTAGTACATGTCCGCATGTGGTATGCACTCATTTACTGGGGGCACGGACAAATGACATGAGATAAAAGAAGGTGTACATGTCACTGATGATAGTGAGGGATCAGTGTACATGTACATGTACATGTACATGTATGTATGGTATGCAATGTAACAGAATTCATATAATCTTATTATGAACTGTATAAGTAACTTTATACTGTAGGCACTTAATAATTCTTTATTAGAATAAAAGGTGCTTGCAAAAACGCTCTATGAAATAACACAAAAAGCAATAGGTTTCATCATAATGATACACATTTTGTACTGTAAGCCGTATATTGGGATTTCCCCCACCAACTGAAGTTTGACCCCATTTCCTTGTAACAAAGAGTACAGAGTTCAGTATTAAAGAGTACAAGGCTTAGTAATAAAGAATAATAATAATACTAATAATATACAACTAATAATAGCTGCTACTGTAGAGTGAGTACCTCCAGTGTCATATGAGTGACACATGCTAGCCCTAGCTGTGCAACTTGTTCAATGGCGGCCATTGTTAGTCCGTATCTATATCCGCCAATTGTTGCTACCTGCATGAACTCGCCCTATGGTTCAATGAAATACTCTAACTGTGTGAGGTTAAGGTGGATTAGTACATGTATATATAAACATTAAACTATAAAAAGGACTCCAATATAGTATATAGTACATAATGAGCAAAACCTACTCACTCAAGTTAAGCATGTTAGTACATGTGCATTTGGGCATTAATTCTGTCACATTCTTATGTTTTCCTTCATTCCTTTCTTTTCCTCATTACAGCATACAGTACTGTATATGCAGCATCACTAACTTTCCATCTTCCTTCCCCCACCCTCTCCCCCTCATTCTCTCTTTATCAGTCAATGTCTACAGCATAAAGGCATCGTGTACATGTACATGTACATTAATTATGATAATATACATGTACACTAACTGTTTCCAGTGCTCTTTCAAATGTTGCTTCATTAATGAAGTAATAGTCTCTGCCGTGACTTTCCCTAGAGCCCTGGGGTCTAGTTGTATGAGAGACACTACAAGAAAAAAACAATAAGAATGAATATCACTTGCATTAATTGGGATGAGCCCCACAAATCCCCTAATCTCTTTCACTATTATTAAGATTACTAGACATGGAATGATGGATTAGTCTCATTACTATGCTTGATTGAATGTTTATACTCGTAATCACAAGATCAACTTACCGCTGCATCACGAACGGGGACATTATGATAGTCATACACACACTCTCCACACGCACACAAATGACACATGAACCAAAACAGACTATGCATTCGATATCAAATACTGCTATACTGTACATTTAGACACAAGTAAGGGCATTGTTTAGCACTAATGATCCTTGACATCCACTGGTAGAGAAACAAAACAACATGTGCTCTTGTATATGTAGGATTCCTGTGGGTTTAGTGGCATACCACATTATTGGTGCTTTCTTCAAAGTGACTCAGTAATAGTTAAAAACAGGAGGTGATACCTTCAGCATAATGATGAATATAGCCCAACTATACTGAAGATCAAATCACACTTACATGTATAGTAAAAGTAGTGGGAGAATTACCCATAATTTAGTTACAGTGAGTTAATGCTACAAAGCATGCCGATGAGTACTATATAATAACAGCCAGGCTACTCCATATGCACATCCAATGTAATGAAATAAGATTATAGTGCAAATACATGTACATGTACGTGTACACGTACATGTACATGTAGATGGAATTACACTTATGTCAAGTTCAATATAACTCTCATTCTCTTGTTGAACTCATGTTTCCTCCAATTAATGAGTTCATGTATTTCTTTTGCCCCCCATTGTTTGTTTTTAACACAAGTATTTCTCTCTCTCACCCTAATCCAAAGAAACTAGGAAATTCTTCAACGAGTGTTTGCGAGTAAAGGCTTTTTGCAGAGCCAGGAGGACCACACAGAACAAG